GTCTACCTCCTGCTATTCTGCAAGAAACTGCAAGGTTCCAATATTTTTTTATTTCTTGAAAATACCCTGTGAAATTTTAAATATTTTGTGAAATGGGTGGATATTTTCCCAACATTAGGAAGGGTGGTTTTTCTGAAATCTGGACTGTTTTTCAGTATTTGTCATGATACAAAGACAATGGTAAAGTCTAAAGACTCCTAGCTTTGACTAAGTAACTCATTTACATGCATATGTGTGTGTGCATTTTCTCACATGTTTATGGAGATTTTTACTGTGGATTTGCACACTGTTTACAAAGGACTTTAGGCGTGATTTATTCAGTGTTATTTATATATAATTTTAGCAACATCAGAATTTCATCATAGATGGAAGTTAGAAATTCATATGAAATTCAATGAGATTTTACCTCAGTATCTGAAGGAAAGACATCCAGCTCCCCCCAACGCAGTTCTGATATTTGATTTCTTTCTTAACAATGGAAAGATCAAAGATTAGGAAGTTTGTATAACGTATCCAAAGAACAGTGCTAGTTCTTGTCAAACATTAGTTTTCAAACAGCCCTTCAAGAATAAGGATGAACATGGCTTCTTCGCAAAGCACAGTCTATAAGCAACTTTGGATTTTTCTTTCTGTTTCTTATATTATCAGTTTTAGCACTTTCTGTACACAAACCTATTAAACCCTTCCTTCCCACCACCACCAAAAAGCCCCCTGAGAAGGTTCTGAAAAGAGTAGATTTAAAGGGAAATTTAATTTCTCTATTATTTTTAGGTGTGTTCTTGTGAGGTACATCAAAAAACAACAGTGAAATTACTTCAGTACCTTTCATACCTGTTTTTTATTCAAGTCTAATTTCTGTAGGCTTTTTTATTTTTATTCCTTCTTGATAATGCACAATCTCATTAAATTATCAGAAACACAACGGATTAATTGTGTTTCTGGTTTCAGAATTAGGCGCTTGATTTGATAAAATTATCTGGAATTCCTGAATTCTCACTCCAGAGAATGTGCATTGCACCCCAGAGATCAGGGCATATGTTTTTTCAGCACTGACTTAGCAAATGATTTTCTGTCACAAAGAACATTCTTCCGCTGTGATATTACATGGCTTATACAGCTGCAAATCTGCCTTGAGTGTAAACAGTTACAATTACTCCTCAAGATGATAAAGTTTATTTCAAAAGGATATTTTCCTAACAATCCTCTACTGACCTGAAATAGTTGCATCTTCTGATTTCATCCCACTCTGGTGCTGCAGGCTTCCTGGCTTCTAAATCTAAATCTGTGTACTCTAATCTACGCAGCTTATTCCTCCGAGGAATTCTGTCTGCTTTGTCATTTACATGTTTTTTAAATTGTATGTCTCTGCCATGAATAATGATGCTATAGATTTATTTTGACTGTTAGTACAGTTCATGTTAAGTTGTACATTTAGCTATTACATAGTCTTCATCTACACAACAGTGGATGTATTGGAAAATGTTTTCCCAAAACCTAACTAAATCATATTTATACACTAAATGTTGAGTACATAAAAAATTATAAGCCCTTTGTAGCCAGCTCACACACAAACTTTCAAAAATGTACCAGCATACATGCTGCTATTTGTTTTCTAATGTACTTAAGAAAAAATATGTCATGGAAAATGTGTCAATGCGTAATAAATTTGTTTTATTAGCACTCAATAATATCCGTAAAGAACCACACTCACCAATATATTATGTGCACTTCTACATATTTTTACTGTTTAAAAAAAAAAATCAGTATTTTGTTGTCAGTTTTATACTTTTTAATACAAATTTTTTTAAAAAATATTTTCCTCACTTTATTTTAAAAAGTGTTTATTAACAGAGAGGTGAAAGGTCACACACTGGAACAGAGAATCAAAAAAAGAAAATTACATTATTTTATGATGTCTCAGCACACTTCAGTACCATTATTTTTTTGTACCCATAGAAATGTAACAAGTAATGGAAAACGCTGCTTCATTGACTATGAATCTGTATATCTCAGATTCAGCTGACAAATATACGATCACTCTTCCTGTGAATGAAAATGGGCATTTGCATCTTCAGGGAGATGTAATTATTGTATGCCACAAATCTGCAGAGAGATGTGCATTCAACAAAATCAATTTCTGTTTTTCCGCTTAGAATCCTTCACATTGTAAAATGCCTTAAAAAGGTCTTTGAATGAAATAATGTGCCATTCACAATGGCATTTATACCCTTTCCCCTCTTTTTTAATTAGTCTGTGAAATACAGGTTTTGTTCAGCTTTTCCCTTCGTAAGGAAACAGACCTTTCTCTCCATAAAAACACACAATAAAAATTAACAAGAAGTAAAAGCAAATGACTGAAAATTTAGGTTTGCATACTTCGAGCTTGTCCTGGTGTGGATACCCTTTAGGTTTTATTAGGTTAATATATGGGTAACTCTCATATGAATAGTCCATCTTTCATTACTCTATCAAAATGTCCATTTTAGTGAACACCGTCATACAAGTTCTGTTTCACATGGTTACTACATCCTATGTTGATAAAAATGGAGCTGACTAGGAGTCATCACTGCTGGTAGATTTGTTGATATAAGTAACACAAAAAGGTGGACACTGATGAATCTATCACGGGAAGAGAAACCCTTTTGAGATGCAGAGGGTTTGAGTTCCAGAGAAGTCCATGAAAGGACTGTTCTTGAATTCAATGCAGTTTAGGTCAGACCTTTGAAAAGAAGGAGTTATAATTTTCTCTTTACGGTAACTAACTAGACTGAGAGCATCCATACTAGCAAGTGCAACAACTCAAGGTTGTCTTTTCATGACCCATGCAAGCCTTTCATCTCCACTCCCCATCCACAAAAAAGAATATTCTCATCTGTATTACTCATCAGGAACAGTCCACTATCATTTCCTCACTATGTTCCGTCCTTTCTAAAGGTGACCTATTGTCATAGACCAAACCGCATCAGCAAATACACTGACATATACACGACCTGCATACCCAGTTCTTGATCCTGGGTCCTCAGCTTGATTAATCTACCAGAGATGCATGCAGAATTGAGATGAACTATAAAGTGGTGCATCTTAATCTGAATAATTTATGATTGCAGAGCCTCCCGGTACCAAAAAAAAGGAAACAATTTTTTCCTAAACATGAAGTGAAGCTGTACAGGAGGAAATGGAAAAGAAGTGATAGAAATCTGAGAATAAAAAGTAAAGACCGATAGAAGAAAATAAGCTTTAAAAGACGATATCTGCTGGGCATTTATATTTACAACTACCATTTACGTAAAGAAATTTATGTATTAATGGTTTTGGCACACCATGTCAGGTTTCCGTGTCTTTCTAATGTTCTTGGGCATCTATGATAAACATTTTCTAAACTTCACAGTCCAGAGTCTAGCTTTGATTCTCCTTCACTGAAAGAGAAGAAAAGTAATGACTGTTATCACTACTTTCAAAGGCAGCAGACATAAATAAATTCTGAAAGCTGTTTAAATTTTAAACTGAAGGCTACAAGGACCTACAAGAATTCCTGATTCTTTTCTCAGATTCAAGCTCTAGGCACAGAGTCTCCTGTCTAAGGAAAACCAAAAAATCCATTGTGTGGGGGTCAGTTACCTATATATGGGTATCTAGTGCCACTTACGATGCCTTGGAGTATTGTTCCTGATTTCCAGATGTCTCTTCCAAAAGACACATACCTTTTCTAGATCTGGCAACATTCCCACCAGGCTACATGGGTATTTCAGATACTGTACAGTATTTAAAGTAACCTCATAATCTTCTGTTTAGACAACTTAAACCTACCCTTCATATCTGATAATCTATTTATACAACTTCATAGGCAGCTCTCCTTTGTCAGGACAGTAAGCACCTGTTCAATTTTGACTGGTATAATCAGACCTTATCTCGCAGGGGTATAGTAGGTACTTTTAAAGGAGAAGAACAAAAGTATTCAAGTAGCAGCCACTGTACTGGACTCTACATGCCCTATTTCTATTGTCATAATAATCATAAATAATTTCTATAGTTTAGAACAACTTAATCTTGAGGTCTGGAGCAGATCATAGATACAATGTTTTCAGAGAATACGTCCCAGATAGTGCACAGAGCATTACCTTGTGACAGAAGAAGCATTACTAATTTCCAGGGACAATAACCTTGATCGTCTTTTGGTGTTTTCACTCATGATAATTTAATTATTGTTAATTAATTACTTGATCTTTCCAAGAAAATATCTTGCCTTTTGTGATCCCTGTTTTATTTAAAATGCTTAGAATGTGCATGAGTGTCTTGGTACTATCACTTGGCCATAAGTGAAAACCTGTTGTAAGAGATTTTCCAGAAACAACATTGTATGCCTTTCATTTTTAAGTTCTGCTAGGCTTGCCAAAAAGAAGGGATAGCGATGACGTTGGTCAGGTCCTAGGGGAAAGAAGTACAGTTTGTTTTGGGCACCAAACTCTATGGCTCACAAGCAGATGCTGACACCAGCCAACAGCAGTTCAAAAGGCATTTCTCAGTTTGAGGAAGTAAGAGGGATCACTGTAATGCAACACAGCAGAATTTCTTTAGTAACACAAAGTATTAGAATCCACCTTTCACTTTGAACAAAATTCCAGAACCGTGTTCTCAAGAAAAGGATAGGAAAAACTTCATAACAATTTTCCCATTCAAAAATCATATTCAGTATGTACATTAAACTTCAGTTGTAGAAGGTCACATCAGAACAGTCGGAAACTACCAACAATGAAATTGGTTACAATATCTAATTCACTGTTACATAAAATTCATTTGCGGTATAATAGCTAAAGAATGCATGTAATTTGAAGAGGCCCCCTATAGCAATCATTGAGACTGAACATATGCAGTATAATAAGTCTCAAATCTGTTGCATTGACTGTAGAGTGCAAGAGCTTTTTCTGTCCATTGAGAGCCCCTGGCTTAGCAAAAAAGTCAGACTGTCACGTTATCATATTAAATTAAATCATGAATCCCAGTCAGAAGAAGTATTCCTTTTGATTTTCATTGGCTGTGTTTTGCATGCTGAGCTCACTTTTCAGTGCAGATTCAGCACTGTCTTCATTTTCAGATTGTTTTGCCTCATTCTTTGAGTATATGCCTTTTTTTTTATAAATGCTTATGGCTATGGCAGTGATGCAAAGTAGAATGAATATCACGACTGCTATCACACCTAGGAGAAGAAAAGAGAGAAGAGTCAAGAGAAAGAATAGACACTTAAAACTCATGGGCTAGAGCGTAGGGCAAGACAGGAATGACTCCATCACATAATGGAGGGGTTTGCAGGGTTTGAAAAATAAGGCATAGCCACTTTCAAATGAGAAACAACACTGCAGTATAAGCTTCATGGTGATTGTTTTGAAATTTTGCACACTGCTAATACCAAAAACAAACTTCCAAAGAATACTACAATTTTTAAACTTTTGAATGGAAGACCAGTAGGGGCCTTACAGTACAGTAGACAAGACCATCAGCCCCTAGTTTTCTGTCAGGCTGGGAACTCAACCCACTGCAGATATGAGGAGCTCTTCTTCAGGAATTTTTCTGCCAGACTACAGGACAGCGCAAAGGGCACTGCTATGACCTTCTCCTTGTCCCTAACTCCTGTTAGTATTGGACAAAGTACTCTCCCTTTCCTCAGTCACTCACGTTGCTCAGGACCCTTTCTCACAACACTTATCAGAAGAGAATCACAGAATCACAGAATCACAGAATCACAGAATGTTAGGGGTTGGAAGGGACCTCAGTGGGTCATCTAGTCCAGCCCCCCAAAGGCAGGACTTGTGTCCCATCAGCAGTTATCACCTGTGAATCAGCTCTCCTATCACTGCTGCAGGACTGGGGAAGGAACCTGGAGAGCAGAGGCAGACCAGAACGGGGTGAGGACAAAGGTACCAATCTGGAATTCTGAACCAGGTCCTCTATCAGCTCTGCCTGTGTACACCACAAAGTCCAAGCCTCAGATCCTTTGCAGTAAAAATGGTTCCACAGAATTAGTCCGATTTGTATCCAGTATGCCACACAAATTTGTTCAGACCACAGGTGGCTGGTTCTGACTAAACAATACAGTTAATGAGAAGAATTTATAAAGAAAGTGTAGAACAGTTCATCATAGGGACTCCAGTGCAAATTGATCAGTGTTTGTAGCCACCTATTGTCAGGTCTAATGGGACAAATTCTAATGTTTATTCTGCCTTGTGGAAGAAAATCCCAACTTTTTTTGACTGTCTTTGGTAGACCATAATAGGATGAAGAGGTTTTTGTGATCTATGTTAGCTAGGGCTCACATTTCTGTAACTGCATCATTGTAATGAATAGATACTAGTTAAAATACTAAAATACCAAAATCAAGGCTCACTTCATGTTCAGGGTGAAATAACATAGGTTTGACTCCTTCCCTTTCCTTTAGGTTTGTGGCACTTTGACATCCGAGGTGTGTTTTCGCTTTGCATGGCTACATGATCTTGGGTTCACATGTAAACAAGGTCCCTGCCTACACAGATGGTAGTGAGCAAGCTTCCTTTTCCAACAGCTTTAACAGCCCCATCTGGTAGGGTAAAAACATCATCAGTACAGCCACCTGCATTACAGTGTTCTAGCTGATCAGTTAGAAAGCCAAGACACAGGAGTAAAAGCTTTACATAGGGCACTCATCAGGTACCATATGTGCCAGATACCTAAACATAAGAGACTAATTGGAAAAGGCACGTAGTTTTAAAGGTGACTATTTAAGATTTATTAAACTGTTACCAGGGCACGCTGCTCTTTGTGCAGCGGATTAAGAACAGTAAGGAAAGAGATACTTCTCACAGAGACAAGCATGGCCTTACAGACTTCTGGCTCATCTCCTGTCTTCCTCATTCATCCTCTCATGATGGTCTCAAGCCCTCAAGTTCATGAGTCAGAGGTTGAGTAAGAGAGGAATTTGAGGAGAAAGGAAACAGAAGACAAACAGAAAGTGTTTGTCAAAGTGGTAGAAAACAATACTAGGCTTCAGGGAGGAAAAAAGCACTAAGCAGTCTAGGACATAGCTGTAAGTGCCTTAGCTGAGCAGTGGCTCAGCTGTGCTAGATGAAGAAACAATCCGCTGCATAACTTCGTCACTACTGCAACAAAAATAAAAATGCATAGTCCCTTAATACTGTAAATAAAAACAGACCACCCAAAACTCAGCACTTGTAATTTTTTTCATTCTCTAATATGAGCAGCCATCCTTGATGGTAGGAATATAAATGTTTTTTGTGTGGTATCTTCTCTTGAATAGTCTCTATAATCTGAATAAATCTTGTTCTTATTTTGATTAAATAGAACAATCACTCTTTTGTTTCACAGTCACAGTACATGTCCCTTTTAAGAGCTTGTCTATAAAGTTGCCCTGTCTGAGGTAGCTGAATTAGTACAACTCTCAAAGACTCATGTAATAGTACTTACATTAAACTTTTACTGAATATTGTACAGCTTGCCTTGACTTTTACACAATCATAGTTAAGCAGTAGAAAAATTGTGAGTGCATATTCCCAAATGTGTTTAATAACAATACAATTGTGAGGTAATTATTATCATCTTAAAAAGACTACAACTATTGTAGCTGGAAGTTCATAAATGACTTTGTTGTTAGTACACTTAAAAATCCGCACCCATACTAAATTACCTAGTACATAAAGTGATCTTTTTGTGTGGATACTTATGCAAAATAATACTTATCTTTGAAATCAGCAAAGTAATTTTTGACAAAATTAGACATGTAGAACAACTCAGAAACCATATTTTTAAATTCTGACCTCACTGAATTCAGTGGTAAAATTCTCGGAGTTTGTGTGTACACAAATATACATACAGAAGTACCACTTTACAAGCAGTAAAGCTTCTAGGTTTTCTTGCCTTTTATTTTGGTATCATTAGCATTACCGTGTTAAAGGTTACTGACCACGCGGCATGTTGTTGACAGGCACTGAACATAGCAGGTACCATTATTTAAACGGCAGACATACAGGTAACTGCAGGTTTTTTATCTTAACTCCACTTTCTATAGACCTAAATGCTTTTGTCCTCAGTGAGAAGCCTTGGCAGCTTTGTTCTCCTAAATCCCACTATGCCATTTGTCTGTTGAGGCTTTTAAAACCCTTGGAAAGGAAACCTATTCAGATTTTAAAAGATGGAGGGAATGACTTTTACGTTCCCCTGCTCTTTTTCTGTTTAAGTAATTAATGGAAATTCAAACTGTGAATTATACTTCAAATAGACTATCTCCATGAGCGAAAACAAGTTTCCTTCGCTCACCTCCTCCCAAAGGAATAAATATTTCCAGAAATTATCACAAGAGACAATACTATTCCTTGAAAGAAAAAAACTGAACTGGCGTAGACATGCACTTGCTCCAACACCTGTAACAGCAGCTGAAATTCTCCTGAGGGCCCCAGTCCCAAACTCTCCCTATTAAGGCTCACTTGAGTACTCTTCGTTCCTGCTAAAGATACAGAACTGGTGGGCTTCCTCACTACAACAGAGATGGATCTTGCTTAAGGATGGTCAGTCAGAAAGACAGAGTAATGGAAGCTGCATATCCCAAATATCCATTCTGTAAGTTAAGCACAAGACGTCTGCCCTAAGCTTTGTACCATATTTGTTCTGAAAAGCATAAAAAGTAAAGTGACTGTCAACATATTCAGTTTGGGAGCATTCAAACTATACACGGTTCTTCCTCTATTCCTCTGTTAGAAACAAGTGTTTTGAAAAAAGTTTGTGGATGATCGTTTGTCGTCCTATAGGAGCTGGTGAAAGTGGCCAGAAGAAATAGTAAGAAAATAGATGAGAAATGGTATTTCAAACCAACAACAATTATTTTTTATTATTTTAACAAATTTTTTTAAGCTGTTAATGAATGCAAATGACAATCTGTCCAAGAGTACATTGCTTTGCAAGTGTGAAAGCAGAATGAAACTTGTCTCAGTCTGTCAAAGGATTGTTTCAGGCAGTGTTAGACCCCATCTTCTCAAGAAACATCTATGTTGCTGAGATCTGCTAAAGAAGATTTTCAACTTGACTGGGTAGCAGAATGCAATTTTTGGGCATAGTCAAGGGGCAAAGATTTTCTTTCTTAAATATATGCTATTTGTTACAAAAGATCCAAGTACTTTTTAAAGTCATAGACACCAGCATTAGGCAGGTTGAAAACCTGACCTTAGCATCTGGTGTTTCAGCAGAATTTTCCAATGTATAGAAACATTAATGCCACAAATTTACCTAACATAAAAATACGACAGCTATTGGTTGCATTTTAAAACAATGATTGATTTTGTCTGTCTGCAACCTGTAATAAAATCAAACCTTTCTACTAGTTTTCTTATGCACACAAAACTAAACTGACTTCACTTCAGCAATGAACGACTCACAGTTATTAGAAAAAGGGTTCCCGTGGAGTTGTTATAGTCCCTATTACCTCCAATAATTGCAGAGTCACTTCTGATTGCATTAGCTAAGGGCTCTCCCTCATCTATTGGTCCAGAGTGATCTGCGGTAGAAAAAAAGGAAAGTGACAGACAAATAGAAGAAGGGTTTTCAAGAAAGCCTCACATGGTTACTGCTTATGCACAGTATGGTACAGTGCCAGTAAGTGTGGGTCCATAAGCATGCAAAGAACAGTGATGTAGACGATACTTTGCAGAGATAAAGAAAAAAAATGTAAACATTCAGAGGAAAAGAGAAAGGCTAGAGAAAAGAAAGCAAGTACATATAAAAGAGAATTATTTTTCAAACTACTCCTGAAACGTTAACCTACACAGAAAAAAAAAAAAGAGTTTTGATTCAGGTCATGAGTACTCTATTTAGTTTTGCTTCAGAGATCAGAACAAGTGATAACCATATGCTACCTGCAAATGAATGGGTTGTTTCACTTGATGTTGAGTCAGCTCCAGTTAAAGTACCACAGTTGGATTCAGTGACGTGTCCCTTTACAACGACAGGGGCTGATCTGCTGTGATGCAGTGCAGCCTTCAAAGGAGCAATGTGGTTGAACTGCACTGAAGAGAGACATCCAATAAACCCCTGAGAGTTTGCCTTCATAGTCTCCTCATCTACATCACTGTTTTCTGTTAATCAAAAGGAACATAACACAATTAATTATAGTGCAAACGTGTAAAATAAAGTGACAGAAGAATAAATGAATAATTAACCTGTGTTCCTCTGAGCATATTTGAGTTACAGCAACACATGTAGATTCACTGAATCCCTTTCTTGTCTGTCTTTAATGCAAAGACAGTCAGATATATTCAGCCCTTTTTTTAAACAGATGACAGTTGTTAGTCTGCTGAGGGAAATGCTTTTAACTTACTCTAACAAAAAGATTTAAGTATAACTAAATTATTTAAATCAAAATGCAACATTTTTTCATTCTGCAGAAAGGTAAGGGTGGAGCATGGATTCATGAAAAATATATTTTTAATTAGATTTTTTCTCATAAGTATGTACATTATTGGATCATAGTCTTTCCACAGATTCATATATGTTCTCCATCTCACCACCATCAAGTCTGTCAAAACAAAAACTCTCTGAAGACCTCAGATACTGGAAATCCACCCAGATATTTTCTGTGAAATTCTAAAAAATTAATGTTATTCTAATTTACTATACATTTTAAACATGATACTATTATCTTTCCCACTAAGAAAAAAAAAATAAGAAGAAACACCAACACCCCCTCTTATTCTCTTGAGATGCCTCTCTGGATGTATGTACTTTGTTAGAGCTCTCTATTTATTCCTCAGCTAGTGCTCACTAATGCACTACTTTGGAAATAGAAAACAGTTTATTTACTTTGATAGTTCTAATCGAAGCAAAAACTCTGGAAGTACTAATTATTCAAAGAGGACTTTTAAGGGAAGTAAGTTTTCAAGTTTTGTCAAAATAAAATGGGAATTTCATCTCATTTATTTCCACCTCCAACTTATCCTAGAACCCATGAATGAACTTGTGATAATTATGATGGCCACCATACCAACTTTAAACACTAATGGATAATGCACTCTGCAATACAATTAGGTTAATAGTGAAAACAAGGCTAATGCATTTTGGTAGAATGTTGCAAAATATCCCAGCAGCTTTTTCCTCAGCTACTCTCTGCTTGTTGCAGTGATGATGTATTATTAGAAAGATTACTGTCAGCAAAGAATCTGCTCACCTACATTGAAGGGTTACATAATAAGTTGGATGTTTAACTGCCTCTGTTCTCTCTGTAGCATATACTGCTTCTGATGATTGCCTCACTACACTGAAGGATCTGCTGGATCTGGAAGTCTTAAGAAAAAGGCTAACCTGAAGTGGCAAGAAAAAAATGTCCAAAACTCCTTGTGATAAAAATATGTATCTCTATGTAGGATCAAAAACCTCAAGAGTGGAAGCATTTTCTATTATTTTATGGTTTCTTGCACAAAAAATTTTGTAAACATTGTATGTATGTAATATGAAAGAAAATTAGATATTTAAAATCCTAAGTGTTCACATGACATTAATTAGAAAATACTGCTGAGATAAAATAAAACCTTTTATTAGATCAAGCAGTCTTACTGTCAAAAATCATAAGGTTTAGGAAGATAAACTCTTCTCTGCTGTGGAGTCCTGGCTGGACGAGAGGGGACATAGTTTGGTGCTGTTGAGCAACCCAGGCTTGGTAATGGAGATAGACCTTGAAAGCAGCGAACATGGAACACTGCTACAGAAGTAGAGTGGAGAACACGGAACGCTGGAGCAGGGGGACTGCCACGTTGTTGCTTCCTGCCTTGGCCGATTCCGGCCACGTTGCCGCTTCTGCTTCGAGATGCAGCTGTGCACCAATCACAGCGAGTTGTAGCTATTTTGACTATATATGGTTAAGATAACTAACCAATCAGAGGCTGTAACTGGTTTGCTATATAAACCTTGTTTTGCTGACTAATAAAGGTTGAACGATCAATAGTCATATTGGGGTGACATCATTACAATGGATCCATAACCCATGCCAACATTCCGCTTTAGTGGTTAAGTCAAATTAAACTGACTGAAAATGACACGTACACACACAAGTTGTTTATCAGAGACTGTATTTTATACTAAACTGCAGTTATGCATCCTTAAACATCTTAAAGGCAATTAAATGTGTTCATAATATGTTGGGTGAACTGTTTTCTGATGGGTTGGGCTCAAAAAGTCATAGTAAATGGGACCGCATCAGGCTGGTGGCCAGTCATCCATGGAGTTCTCAGTTTTAGGGCCAGTGCTCTTTAATGTTTTTATAAATGACCTGGATGCAAAAGTCCAATGTACTTTAAGTAAGCTTGCCAATGATACTAGAGGAGGAGGAGCTGTGGGCCCCCTCAGAGGAAGAGAGAGCATACAGAGATATCTGAATAGACTAGAGATCTGGGCAATCACCAACAGTATGAAATTTAACAAGAGCAAGCACCAGATTCTCCATCTGTGATGGGGTAATCCTGGTTATACATATAAACTGGAGGATGAGGGGCTAGAGAACAGCCCCTCGAAAAGAGATCTGAGAGTTTGAGTGGATGGAAAGTTGAATATGAATCAACAGTGTGCCCTGGAAACCAAAAGTGCCACCATGTCCTGGGGTCCATCAACCACAGCATAGCTAGCTGGTCGAGGAAAGTGATTGTCCCACTTTACACTGCACTGGTGCAGCCCAACCGCAAGTATAGCGAGCAGTTTTGGGCACCTCAGTAGAAGAAAGACATCAGACTGTTAGAGTGTGTCCAGAGGAGAGCAACCAAGATGGTGAAAGGTCTTGAGGGCAAGACTTCTGAGGAGTGGCTGAGGTCACTTGGTTTGTTCAGCTTAGAGAAGAACAGGCTGAGGGGTACCCTCACTGCAACGTACAGTTCCTCAAGGACAGCAGCGGAGAGGGAGGTGCTGATATCCTTTCTCTGGTGACCAGCAGTAGAACATGAGAAAATGGTGTGAAGCTGCATCAGGGGAATATCAGATTGGACATTTGGAAAAGGTTCTTCACTGAGAGGGTGGTCAGTCACTGGAACAGACTCCCCAGGGAAGTGGTCATGGCATCCAGCCTGTCAGAGTTCAGGAAATGTTTGGACGATGGTCTTAGTCATAGTTTAGTTTCAGGTACTCCCACGAATAGCAGGGAGTTGGACTTGATGACCTCTATGCATCCCTTCCAACTCAAGATATTGTATGATTCTATGATTCTACGAATCTGCTCTGCAGAAAAAAAAACTATACACATTTGACTTTCACAGCTAAATTACTAGGTAGAGGTACTGAAAAATGTGCTTGAAATGGACTGCCACAAAATCACTTTTGTGGAGCAAGCCTGTATTGTTATGAAAATAATATTATGCCCAGGCTTTTTCCATTAAAAGTGCTTATTACAGTTAAAATTAATTACAATCATACACCCAATGATATCAGTTCAATCTTGTATGGTTGGTTGTTCAGAGTTTTTTCCCCCTGTGGTTAATATGTGACCATGTAAACGCTGCTATGCTGCTACATTTTTTTTTTAAATATGAAGAAATACAACACAATTCTACTGAAGTTTACTTATGATTCAGATTCAAAAGACAAGGAGGAGGTAAATTAGTGAAAAATATGTCATTAAACATTTTTTTTCTGTTTTCTGTCCACAAAAGCATTCCATTTTAAAACCACTCCAAAACAGTCTATGCCATTCCATTATTTGTCATTTGTTTCAGAAGTTTACTGCTAAAAAAATGCCAGTAAAGAAAGCAATTTGATTAACAGGAAGTAATAGATAGCTCTGTCATCTACAATTCTGCTGACTTTTCAACAATATAAATCCAGTAAACAGGAGTTACAAGCGGGTGTTATTTGTGGAAATGTCATTTGTCACTCTGCTGAGACTGAGTAGAATAAAACTTTAAAATAAAACATTAGAAGGCAAATATTTTGCCAAGAGAGTTATTCCATCAGACTAAACTATCTCCAGTAAATCCCTGAATATTTATTTTTTAAAAATACTGTTATGTCCAAGATTGAAAGACTGTGAAAACTTTCTATTTCCCCAAATAATTATCCTGAAAAGCTTCTGTATTTGAAGTGAGACTTGACAAGCTTGGCTGACTAAATCAAATATCTGATGAATATTTTTTAAAAAAATTGTTTCACATAAGTTTGCTAGAGTACAGTTATATGTACTTTAAATCGTGGGACTTGCATAAAAATGCATATTCTAAGCAGACTTATATTGAAGGCTTTTCTAAACTAACTTTAAAACATTGAATTTTACTATTTTGTTCCTATATGAATTCCAAATTTCATGTTCTAGAAAAAGCTGCACAAAGACATATGGACATTTATAAAGCAATTATTAATTTAGCATATACTTCACTACAACACTTTTTTGGGAGTACCTATACATTATTGTTTTAATGTACCTATACATTATTGTTTTAAAAGCAGCCTCACAGTCACAGGCCCTGGTTCTCATGGGGGACTTCAACCACCCTGACATCAGCTGGGTAGACCATACAGCTAGGCAGGCGCAATCCAGGAGGTTCCTACAGAGCATCGATGATAACTTTCTGATGCAAGTGGTGGAGGAACCAACAAGGAAAGGCGCGCTGCTGGACCTCGTGTTAACAAACAAGGAGGGACTGGTGGAGGACGTGAAGGTTGGAGGTAGACTCGGCTGCAGTGACCATGAAATGGTTGAGTTCAGGATCCTGCATGGAGGAAGCAGGGCGATAAGCAGGATCAAAACCCTGGACCTCAGGAGGGCTGACTTTGCGCCCTTCAAGGAGCTACTGGGAGGAATCCCGTGGGCCAGGGCTCTCGAAGGCAGGGGGGTCCATGAGTGCTGGTCGCTTTTTAAACAACACTTCTTCCATGCACAGGAGCAATGCATCCCCCTGAGAAAGAAATTTAGCAAAGGAGGAAGGAGACCTGCATGGTTAAACAAGGAGCTTCTAGCGGAGATCAGGCAGAAGAGAAAGGTGCATGGCATGTGGAAAGAGGGACAGGCCACTTGGGAAGAGTACAGAAACGTAGTGAGAGCATGCAGGGATGCGACGAGGAAGGCCAAGGCCCACCTGGAAGTGAAGCTGGCAAGGGATGTCAA